GCAGGAGGGACCCCACCGGGACGCCTCGCCCTCTGACGACGGAGCTCCTCCTGGCTGGTTTTGGCCTCCCCTTCGGGGCTGATTGGATTCCTCCCCATCCCCCGACCTTCGGACTTTGGACCCCCGTGTCTTTTTGATCGCTCCTTAGGATAATTTTTTTCCACTTCCCTTCCGTTCTTTTCCCGTTCCTTCCTGGCCGGCTGCGATCCGTTCCTTTGTGGCGTTCCTCTCCATGGCTCCAAGGACGCGGCGGCGGAGGAGCCTCGCGCGGCCGCTGGCCGTCCCGGCGGGGGCCTCTTGAGGCCGGGAGGCTTTCCAGAGCACGGACGGAAGGAAGGAAGGAGCCCCTTGGATGGTAAAGGGCCGGCCGGGCTGCGGGGGGGGGAGGCTGGAGGGGGAGCCCCCGCCGAGGGTCACCTGCCGTCCGGGTGGCGAGGCTGCTGACCTCCCTGGGGATGAGCTTTGGGCCCCCTTGGGGGAAAGGGAGGGGGTCTTTCCGCCGATGGTGGGGTTCGCGGATAGGGGCTGCTTCCTCCCCCGGCCTCGGGGAGCACCTGCCCGCGCGGAGGGGTCGGTCCAGATCTGCTCCATCTCCCCATCTGCAGCCTGCAGGTGCCCCTTCGGAAGTGCACTGGCTGGGGGAGGGGGCATCGGCCTGACCCTGGGGGGTCCTTTGGCCTCGACCCATCGTGGGCGGTGGAGGCGGGGGAAGCACCCCGATGGCTCTTGTCTGCTTTGGGGGGCAGCCAGAGAAAGCTTCCTGGGGACACTGGCTTCTGTCGCCAGTGGCTGTCTTGGAAAGGCCCCTCTGGATGCGGAGCCGACCCCAAGCAAAAAGGGGAGGGATGCTTTTTTGGAAAAGGAAGGAGCAGCTGGGTGGAGGCCGGGCTGTCAGGCGTGGCCGGGCGAAGCCCCCCCACCCCCCCTCGTGGGCCAGGTTCATCTGCTAGCCTCTTTGGGGGCCCTCTTGTCTCCCCCGTCCTCAGGTGCAGAAGAGGGCCCCAAAACCCAGCCGCCTCCTCTCTGGGCTCAGCCCGGCAGAAGATCTTGTGCAGCCGTAGCCCCAAAAATAGCCACCTTGGAAAAACCTAGATTCCTGCTCACTTGCTCTTGGTGCGAATGGAAAGAGAAGCAGGGGGGGGCAGTGAATCCAAAAGAAATCTTTAAAAGTGCAGCCCAATGGAGAGGCTTCAGGGGGGACCCCAAAGTGCAGAGAGAAGCTCCATCCGTGCAGAAACGTGTGGTGCTTCTTTTTTCCTCCATCATCGGTTCTGTGTGCCTTAGCTTCATCTTTGCTCTCCCACCCACATTGCTTGTTTCTTCCTTTTTCAAAAAAAATGTATATGTCCCGGTTCTGCAACGGACTGCTGTGCTCTGATGTGTGGGGGGGGGGGGAAGGAGCGTTCTTTTTACAGCCTGCCGGTGGCATTTTTGGATAGCCTTCTTAGAACTGGATGATGGCAGTAGAAATTGTAGTTTATTTTTCTTGATTTAATTTTATGCAAACTATTTTGAGCCTGCCTTTCTCCTTCAAAAGGACCCGAGGGGGTGTACAGCGATTAAAGGACAGTATTTTAAGCGAAGGACGGGGAATAGACAATAAAGTATTTATTTCAGGTGTAGCCGAGGAGCTTGGAAAGGCTAAGGAAGTAACCAGGGCTGGGGGGTGGTGGTGTCACCTGGAGGAATCATCCTCTCCTCCGGCTGGGTGCAGAAAGGACTGGCTCTTGAGACATATCTGGGCTCCCAAGGCCCATCCGCCCCAGGCAGCTAGACTGGGGATTGTAGTCCAGTGGCCTTTGGTGTTCATTCTCTCCCCCCCCTCCCCAAACGGAGGGAGCTGTTCAGTCTCTCAAGCGGAAGGTCAGCTCAGGGTACGGAGGGCGGGTGACCTTCCCGGAGCTGGCTGGCCATCTTTGTCCTGAGAAAAAGGGGCTGAGCCGCAGGGGTGGGTCTTCTCTTCTCTTCCAAAGCAGCTGATCCGATTCACAGGAAGCGGTTCTCTCTCCGAGCAGCTGCTGCGGCGGCTTTTCCCCGGGCTGGGCTCTGTTTGTTTATTTGAATAACCTTGGCCGATACAAAGCAGGCGTTCGGTTAACATGTATCCCTCGCCTTAAAAGAATCATAAACCTTCCTGGTAGAGCAGAAGATTAAAAAAAAGGTTGCAGTTCTAAATAATTCACCGCCTGATTGCTACAAGCTTGCCTGCCTCCCTGAAATCGCAGCTCGGGAAAGAAAATGGGCCAGCCGTTCGAAAATGGAAGACGTGTCATCTCTCCCGCTTGAAGTGTTAAATCCGACAGATTGTCAAGCGTTACGAGCCCAAGGCCTTGAATAAAGAGGCCTCTTTCGGGGATCCTGGTCAAATAGGGTGACCCGACGGCTGCTCTCGGGGAATGGAGCCTCCCTCTTCAGTGGCAGTCTACCATCCAACACCCCCAACCCTGGGAAGAATTCTTCTTTTTATGGTGGTGCTTGTCCGTCCGTTGTTTTATGTTCCTGGGTGTGCGTAACTTGTCCTGTGTGGTTGGGAAAACTCGTGCTGGAGGGACCGGATTTTGTGCACCCACCCTGCCCCGCCCCACCCCGGTTTCTGTTTGCCTTGGCTCTGAGGAGCAGCAGGTGCGATGGTTCCCTTCCACACGCCGGGGCCGCGTCTGCCCTTGAACCCCAGAATCTCGGGGAAGCTCGCTTTCTTTGTTAGGAAACCAAAACAGCTGTTGCAGGATCCCTGAGGTTGATTGACGGCGGGTTGATGTTGTGCACCCACCCTGCCCCGCCCCACCCCGGTTTCTGTTTGCCTTGGCTCTGAGGAGCAGCAGGTGCGATGGTTCCCTTCCACACGCCGGGGCCGCGTCTGCCCTTGAACCCCAGAATCTCGGGGAAGCTCGCTTTCTTTGTTAGGAAACCAAAACAGCTGTTGCAGGATCCCTGAGGTTGATTGACGGCGGGTTGATGGAGCGGCTGGTGAGAAA